TAGGCATTTATCCAAGAGAAATGACAGTGTATACTCACACAAGAACCTGTACATGAATGTTCATTGCAGCATTATTTGGAATAGCCAAAAATTGGAATAAGCCCGGATATCCTTCAGCAGGTGAATGGTAAAACACACCATGGTAAATACACACTGTGGACTACTACTCAGTAATAAAAAGGAACAAATTACTGATACATGCAATAATTTGGATGAATCTTTCAGGTATTGTGCTCAGAGGAAAAAAAGTCAGTACTTAAAGATTACATATTGCATGATTCTATTTGTGTAATGCTTTTGAAATGACAGAATTTTAAAAATGGAAGATAGATTAGTGGCTGCCAGAGGGTAGGGACAGAGGAGGGGGTGGGAGAGAGGTGGGTAGAGTTATAAAGGGGCAGTACAAGTCTTGTAGTATGGAATTGTTCAGTATCTTAACTGTCGTTGTAGATACAGGAACCTACATGACTGATACAATTGTGTAGAACTAACACACACACACACACACACACACACACGTGAGTACAAGTAAAACTGGTGAAATCTGAATAAGATGGGAGGATTGTATCAATGTAAATATGCCAGTTTGATACACAGCAAAACCTTGGATTGTGAGTAACTAGTTCTGCGAGTGTTCTGCAAGGCAATCAAATATTTTTAATAAATTTTAACTTGATAAATGAGTGATGTCCTGTCATATGAGTGGTACATGATACTGAACATCACATGATCACAACTGAGCCAATGGTTCTTGAAATTGACTTTGATATACAAGTGCTTTGGATTACTAGCATGTTTCTGGAGAATGCTTGCATACTTTACTGTACTATAGTTTTGCAAAGTGTTACCACCGGAGGAAATGAGACAAAGTATAGAAGAGGTCTCTCTGTATTATGTCTTACAACTATATGTGAATTTATAATGGTCTCAATGAAATTAAAAACAAACAAACAAACAAATAAAAACCTGCCCTGATTATGTAAAACTGAAAATTGGTTACATGGCCTTGTACCTGAGGGCAAATACAGTGACATATATCTTTGCACTCCTAACCCCTAGTAGGTTGACAGACACATGATAGGTGCACAATACATAATTGCTAAGGTGACACTTTTAATTAAGAGACATGAATACAAGGTACAAATTTGAGTTAAGGTAGATAAGATCTCTTTATCTCTCTCTCTGACTTTCTCACTCTTTTTTCTTGAAGTGTTGAATTTGAAATTTGAGTGGGATATCCAAATTAGAGATATCTAGCAGGCAGCTTCAAGTGTTTCTATTCTTTCTAGCATTCTAGCTGAACAACAAATGTTCTAGATGTGACTCTATGGTTCAAGGCTGTATGTATGTAGCTCAGTACATTTCGTGAAAAGGACTTGATAAAGCTTTCATAGTCCATTTTTCTCTAATACTGGATATTCTACCTGACCAACTCAAATTCAAACAAAATTATCACATTCTGAATTGTCTTCTCATTTTATAGAGGGAACCTATATATTGATTTTGATCCTCAGTTTAAATTCTTAACTCTTCACCAAAGGGATTATTAGACGTTTTCCCTTAAATCTAAGGTGTCAGGTATAGTTTTTAATTAAAGATCAATTAAAAATGGGCAAAATAATATTTGACATGAAATCAAAACATTAGTCAATGGTCAAATATAAATTCAGTTATATGTATTATTGTTATATATCCCTTTTAATATTGCTTTGTAGGAAACTGTTGTCTGTAAAACTAGGGTACAGGTTTTAGTATCACAGATTCTAGAAAGGAACTTTAGTAATCATTTAGTTCTGTGATCATAACAATCTTTTTTTTTTTTTTAACGTTTATTTATTTTTGAGACAGAGAGAGACAGAGCATGAACGGGGGAGGGGCAGAGAGAGAAGGAGACACAGAATCGGAAGCAGGCTCCAGGCTCTGAGCCATCAGTCCAGAGCCCTACGCGGGGCTTGAACTCACGGACCGTGAGATCTTGACCTGAGCTGAAGTCGGACGCTTAACCGACTGCGCCACCCAGGCACCCCTGTGATCATAACAATCTTAACAATCTTGATTGTCTTCTCGAGAATCTCTAGGCATTTATATTACATATGCTCCTTCAGCCAGTTCTTGAGTTTTATCACCTAGTTGTTTACAGTTATTTCTTTTTTTTTCTTTTCTCAGAAAATTTTTTTAATTTCATTTTTAAATTTATATCCAAATTAGTTAGCAATAATGATTTCAGGAGTAGATTCCTTAATGTCCCTTACCCATTTAGCCCATCCCCCCTCCCACAACCCCTCCAGTAACCCTCTGTTTGTTCTCCATATTTAAGAGTCTCTTATGCTTTGTCCCCCTCCTGTTTTTTTATTATTTTTGCTTCCCTTCCCTTATGTTCATCTGTTCTGTGTCTTAAAGTCCTCATGTGAGTGAATTAATATGATATTTGTCTTTCTCTGACTAATTTTGCTTAGCATAATACCCTCTACTTCCATCCACGTAGTTGCAAATAGCAAGATTTCATTCTTTTTGATTGCTGAGTAATACTCCATTTTATATATATATATATATATATATATATATATATATATATATATATCACTTCTTCTTTATCCATTCATCCATCAGTGGGCATTTGGGCTCTTTCCATACTTTGGCTATTGTTAATAGTGCTGCTATAAACATTGGGGTGCATGTGCCCCTTCGAACAGCATACCTGTACCCCTAAATACCTAGTAGTGCAATTGCTGGGTCATAGGGTAGTTCTATTTTTAATTTTTTGAGGAACCTCCATACTGTTTTCCAGAGTGGCTGCACCAGCTTGCATTCCCACAGCAGTGCAAAAGAGATCTTCTTTCCCTGCATCCTTGCCAACATCTGTTGTTGCCTGAGTTGTTCATGTTAGCCATTCTGACAGGTGTGAGGTGGTATCTCATTGTGGTTTTGATTTGCATTTCCCTGATGATGAGTGAAGAATGTTGAGCATATTTTCATGTGTCGATTGGCCATCTGGATGTCTTCTTTGGAGAAGTGTCTATTCATGTCTTTTGCCCATTTCTTCACTGGATTATTTGTTTTTTGGGTGTTGAGTCTGAGCAGTTCTTTATAGATTTTGGATACTAACCCTTTATCTGATATGTCATTTGCAAATATCTTCTCCCATTCTGCCGGATGCCTTTTAGTTTTGCTGGTTGTTTCCTTCACTGTGCAGAAGCTTTTTATTTTGATGAGGTCCCAGTAGTTCATTTTTGCTTTTGTTTCCCTTGCCTCTGGAGACGTGTTGAGTAAGAAGTTGCTGTGGCCAAGATCAAAGAGGTTTTTGCCTGCTTTCTCCTCGAGGATTTTGATGGCTTCCTGTCTTACATTGAGGTCTTTCATCCACTTTGAGTTTATTTTTGTGTATGGTGTAAGAAAGTGGTCCAGGTTCAATCTTCTGCATGCTGCTGTCCAGTTTTCCCAGCACCACTTGCTGAAGAGACTATCTTCATTCCATTGGATATTCTTTCCTGCTTTGTCAAAGATTAGTTGGCCATACGTTTGTGGGTCCATTTCTGGGTTCTCTATTCTGTTCCGTTGATCTGAGTGTCTGTTCTTGTGCCAGTATCATACTGTCTTGATGATTACAGCTTTGTGGTATAGCTTGAAGTACGGGATTGCGATGTCTCCTGCTTTGGTTTTCTTTTTCAAGATTGCTTTGGCTATTTGGGATCTTTTCTGGTTCCGTACAAATTTTAGGATTATTTGTTCTAGCTCTGTGAAGAAGGCTGGTGTTATTTTGATAGGGATTGCATTGAATATGGAGGTTGCTTTGGGTAGTACTGACATTTTAACAATATTTGTTCTTCCTATCCAGGAGCATGGAATATTTTTCCATTTTTGTGTGTGTGTGTGTCTTCTTCAATTTCTTTCATAAGCTTTCTATAGTTTTCAGTGTATAGATTTGTCACCTCTTTGGTTAGATTTATTCCTAGGTATTTTATGTTTTTTGGTGCAATTGTAAATGAGATCGATTCCTTGATATCTCTTTCTGTTGCTTCATTGTTGGTGTATAGGAATGCAACTGATTTCTGTGCATTGATTTTATATCCTGAAACTTAGCTGAATTCATGAATCAGTTCTAGCAGTTTTTTGGTGGAATCTTTTGGGTTTTCCATAGAGAGTATCATGTCATCTGCAAAGAGTGAAAGTTTGACCTCCTCCTGGCCAATTTGGATGCCTTTTTTTTTGTGTGTGTTTTCTGATAGCAGAGGCTAAGACTTCCCATACTATGTTGAATAACAGTGGTGAGAGTGGACATCCCTGTCTTGTTCCTGACCTTAGGGGGAAAGCTCTCAGCTTTTCCACAGGAGTTCTTTCTTATGTCCAAATGAAATGGCTTCTATTGGCAAAGACTATGTTGTATTCATTTTTGTGCTTCTGCAATCTCTTGTGTTAGGCAACAATGCAGTACCCATATTATGTGTTTATTGACTGAATCAATGGCTAAATAAATGCTTTATTTTTATCCCATTTTCTCATGTCTCTTAAGGAAAAGAAAAGCAGACCCCCCCCCCACCATTATGATCAAGTCAGCCCTCAGTCTTCTCTTCTCCAAGTTAAATAACTGGAATTAATTTAACCTTTTCTCATAGAACCTAATTTCCTTTCCTAATTAATCATCCTTACCATTCTTCTTTGAATCCACTTTAGCCTTTATACATCCTTTAAAAATTTATCACCAGTTGGACCCTCCATTACAATAAGGGCCTCATTAATTTAAAATATATTAGCTTCATTACTTTGTGGCTTATGTCCCTTATTTGTAACCCAGTTTTTCTTGGGCCACACAACCCTATGACTATTTCTGCCACACTGTAGGGTTTTGATAAATATTTGTGGAGTGACTGAATTTGGTCATGTTAATATTTGGTCTTGTTATATGCCTTTCTCCTTGAGAAAAGGTTACCAAGCTATGTTCTTATCTGGCCCAATATCTTACAGATGTAATGAAGACATCTCTTTTCTGCTTTTATTCAAAGGGCAAAGGAAACATCCTCTTGACAGCCACAAGCTTTCATAATGGCATCCCCGTGACAATGAACACATTTCTACCAGGTCAAGCTTGCCTACCTGATCCTGTCTTCTCAGTATCTTCTTTGAACAACTTCATGTGGTTGAATTCCTGGTAAGCCCATTATACCAAGCCTGTGGGTGTGATCAAGCACATTTGAATTCTAGTGGTGAATGCTGTGCTTACTCTGACACCTTTGTCCCATAATAATATCATATTACCTTTTTTTAAAAACATACATATTATTTAGATATTTAGATTTTTAAATTTAGTGAAAAGCAGGGACTGTGTTTCACTTACCTTGTGCCTTATACAAATGACTTGGCCATAGTAGGCACTCAAGTATTTGTTAAACTAAAGGCTCAGTGAGTGAATGCCTTTTTTTAAGCTTACATTAGTTCAGTGAGGGTGGTGTATTTAGTTTTACTAAAATAGCAAACAATAAATATTTGCCAATTTATTGAAGCTGCTATTCTTATGCCTTTGATACAGGAAATTTGGCAAATGTTATTATTTTAGCATTCTTGGATTCTATTTAATTCACAGTCTGTTATTATACCAAATAGATGTTGGTACTTTCCCAGTGTTTCCTAAACTGGGAGTTGACCCATAGGGAGATCATGGGCTGTTGTCAGGAAGTCACAGAGACAGCATCTGCAGTCCCCTGAATAGCTGCTTGGAGAAGAGGCAGTGAACTGTGGGTGACCCAGCATTCTCCACCTACTGCCTCCCCTCGGGCACTTCCTTTCAGATTTGTTGTGATACTGAGAGGGAGACCAGAGCTACTGCAGGATCTGTAAGATGACAAGTAAACTTACATTTTTGGGGACAGTTAATATGAGTCATGGAAAACCCAGGGGAGTCCACAGGATGAAAAAGTTTATGAAATCCTGGGGTGACCTCAGGCTGATGCTAATTGAATTCCCTTGACAAAGGATCTTAAATGATGTAGAGCAGTTACTGTTTTTAAATGAGTGCAGGGAAAACAGTTTTCCCAGGGTGTTTCATTGGAGACCAAAAGGTCACTCAGATTCTGCGGTTACAGTCATGTGCAAATCAGTCTTTGGATTAAGTTAGGACTTAATCCAAGGGATCTGGAATTAGAAGACTTGGGTTTGGCTTGGTAATTGTATTGTTCATATTAGCTGAAAACAGTGTGATTTCATTTTAGCATCAAGGCTTAAAATATGTCAAGCAAAACATTTGAATTTCTATTATCTTTAGCAGAAGTTCAAAATAGTCTATACATCTACAGTCTATTAACGATTGGCAGCAGACTTGATTTATGTTTGTTGCACACCAGAGTGCAGACTTTTACCTTTCTCTGTGTTTAACACACCTCACAGAACAACCTCACTCAGACTTATGATGTCTCCCATCCCTGTAGATAGGGTTTTCTCAGGACATACATAGTTCATGTCCGTTTTCTGCGGAAATTGTTAGTAGCTCCCTGCCTATCATTCTCAAAAATGTCCTATAAAGAACTCTTTTTTGAATTCTAGACTGATGGGTCTTCTTAGACACCTCAACCTTGATATGACATGGACATTCTACCCTCTGTATGCCAATAATGAACTAAATATATCCTTGGAACTCCTTGATTTCCTATATTCCTTGTTTCCCTTGTCACTCCCCAGCTCCTGTGATCTCCATATGCATGTTCCTCCCCCATTGAAATCCATGACTCTCTACTCTCATTGGAATTGTTGCCCAGAAACTTTCTGGGTGCTTTTTCTCTTTCATTGAGGATTCTGGGTGGATTCTTGCTCACAATCTCTTCCCCTCCTAGTCCCACTATCTATCTGAATTACTTCAGTGTTCATTACATGACTGTGGCATGTAACACCATTGGTTGCCCAAAAGCCATCAGCTGTTAGGTTTTCATCCCAGACAAAGGAAATCTGCTTTTGTTTATGTCGGAATGTGCTTAGCTCCAGGAAGAACATAAATGGTGATATTTTCTAATTTGCTGGTTACTCTGTGGGTAATTCTAATGTGCAACCAGGCATAACAGTCATGGCTCCAAACACATCACAGTAATCTCAGTTCCCTTTGTAATGGTCCAAGGCTGCTCACACAACCCAGTTAGGGAATTTCTACAAAAGTTTTCTGGGAAAGTTTTGCTTTTATTATAAAGAAAAGAATTTTATAAGAAAAAGTCTTTTTGCCCTTTACTTTCCCTCTTTTTTGGATGCTTTCCGATGATGATGCTTTTAGCTGTTGTAGCCATCTGGAAACTCGAAAGTGGTAAGTCAACCTGCTGAGGATAGCAGGATAGACAAGGGTAAAGATCCTGGGTCTCTGATGCTACTGTTTAATCTATAAACCTAGAATCTGGCTAACTCTGGAATTTAGGTTAGGATAGTGTAAATATTATTATGTTAAAATCACTCTGTCAGGTCTTACATATTTGCTAAAAGCATACTTATGATAGATTTAACCTCCTTATAGGCCAAAACTGGAGGTCAAAGAACTTTTTCTGTAAAAGGCCAGATGACAAATATTTTAGGTTTTGTGAGCCATATAGCATCTGTTGCAATTACTCAATGTTGCCATTGTAACACAAATGCAGGCAGAGACAATACATAAACAAATGAGTGTGGCTGTGTTCCAATAAATTGCTATTTACACAAATAAGCAATCAAGCAGATTTGACCCTTGGGCTATAGTTTGGGGACCCCTGTCCTAAATCTTCATTAAGAAGTGAAGGAATCAGCTTCTAGAGGGCTAACTACATCTTTTGGTATTTTTTGGGTAAGATAAGATTAGCATCCTCTTCTAGGGCAGTGTAGGAAATTACTGCAGAATTGGGAATTGAGTACAGGGAATGCAAACAGACATGGATTACCTGGACTCAAAGGTAAGAGAAAGGACTATGGGGAGACAAGAACCTTAGGCAGGACTCCCATAGAGGTTTTACATAGTCATTAGTAATTCTAGAGATCTTTGTGTCATGTGAGTAGAGAGAAGGAGACATTACCTATATTACCAAAAGGTTTATGGAATTTCCTGAGGCATCAAAATCTATTTTGACTCAGAACTTCAACATTTGTTATTTGGAGAGAGAAAACTTTCCTGGCGTATATAAATGATGGTGGGAGGACAGAAGGTGTGACTGAGAATCTGATTTATCAGGTTGGGCTTCTGTGGGTCTCCTACTGAATGCACAGACTTTTCTTTCTGCAACAGTTGTATATAATGGAACAGTTTTTGCCGTAAGATCTGGTCTTTCTTTGATAGAGGCACCACCTGGTTTTAATTTACTAATTCATACATATTTTGGAGGGAGCCTAATGCATGCTACTTGACATCTGCAAAGAGCCTTTGCTGGAATATGGTGGAAGTGTTCAGCTCTGTGTTGTTGGTATTTCCCTTGTGAGGTTTCTAGTTGGACAATGAGACTCAGTGGGGTTCCTGGTAGAAGAAAAGGAGCCCATTCTTTAAGTCCATAAGTCCTCCACAATGGTCCAAGTAAATAGGGTAAGATTGCTTTTTTCCCCTACTTTCCCATTAAGACTATCTTTGCTTATTTAAATTTGAATCTATTTGTGTAAAAATCATGGAAGCACCATGGTTACCTTTAGGGAAAAGAAATGGGAGGCTGGGAAAGGAGGTCAGGGAGACTTAATTTTTTATTGGGTATGTATAATATTTGAAAATTCTATCAACCTATATTACTTTATCCAAAAAATTTTTTTAATTCCCTATATTTTTAAAACTGCTGGATGTATATCTGTCAGATAGGGTTGGTAGATGAAGCTAGGAAAGTACACTGTGAAATTCATTTCAGATCCTGATCCCTGCTGGGGACAACTATGTATTCTCATACATTTAGCTGTGACCAATGTTTATGATCATTTACAAAAGAGTGCATGCATCCTGGCTTGCCTATTCACACAAACTGCAACATAAACACTGATAAAATTACACACCATAGATCTATGAAGCTCATCCATTGGAACTTAATAGCTTGGTAATGTCAGTCCCAGTGCTTGCTAGAACCATAGCCCTTTGGCCCAGGCTGTCATTTTCAGGACTACAATTCCTGGCCTCCATCTGTCCATAGTTGACTAGTGAAAGTAGGAGCTGATGGTGCAGTTGAGTGGAGGCTAAAATTACACACATACAAATGTCATGAGATGGAAAAGGAGTTGTGAGGGGACTTGAACAAATAGAAGTTATAAAGGAGAATGAATCGATCAGTAGAAGTTTTGAGCTAGGTAAGTTATGGAGTTGATGTTGAGCCATTTAGTATTGGAGGAAAATTAAGAATCTGTACCACCATAGAAATGATAATGATGTGATGTGATGGAGGTGTTAGCTAATACTATAGTGGTGATCATTTGCAACACAGGCATACCTTGAAGATATTGCAGGTTTGGTTCCAGGCCACTGCAATAAAGTGAATGTCACAATAAGAGTCAAATTTTTGGTTTCTCACTGCATATAAAAGTTATGTTTATACTATACTGTAGTCTATTAAGTGTGAAATAGGATTATATCTTAAAATGTGCACACATTAATTTAAAAATACTTTATTGCTAAAAATTTCTAATCATCATCTGTGCTTTCAACAAGTTGTAATCTTTTTGCTGGTGCAGGGTCTTGCCTTGATGTTGATGGCTGCTGAGTGCTCAGAGTGGTGATTGCTGAAGGCTGGGGTAGCTGTAGAAATTTCTTAAAATGAGACAAGAATGAAGATTGCTACCTTGATTGATTCTTCCTTTCATGAATGATTTCTCTATAGCATGTGATGCTATTTGATAACATTTTACCCACAGTAGAACTTCTTTCAAAATTGGAGCCAATCCTCTTAAACTCTGCTGCTGTTTTATCAACCAAGTTTATGTAATATTCTAAGTCCTTTGTTGTTGTTTCAACAACATTCACAACATCTTCACCAGGAGTAGATTCCATCTCAAGAAATCACTTTCTTTCCTCACCCATAAGAAGCAACTCCTCATCCGTTCAAGTTTTATTGTGAGGTTGCAGCAATTCAAATATAATAATAATGAAAAACTTTGAAATATTGTGAGAATTAGCAAATTGTGACACAGAGACATAAAGTAGGCAAATGCTGCCGAGAAATGGTGCTGATAGACTTGTTCAATGCAGAGTTGCTGGAAATCTTAATTTGTAAAAAACTCAATTATCTACAAAGTGCAATAAAGCAAAGCACAATAGAATGAGGTATGTTGTAGATAATTGTATCAAATCAACATGTTGTACACCTTAAAATTACACAATATTATATGTCAATTATATGTCAATTAAGCTGAAAGAAAAAAGAATCTGTACCAAAAGAAAAAGAGGTACAGAGAGTAATCGAATCCCTTCAATAGTATTGCCTTTACAGGGAAGATGTGTGTATTTTGCTGCAGAAGTCCCTAGAGTTTCCCCCAATGCAACTCCAGTCTTTGTGAAATTCACTTGTTTGTGTTCTTGGACTCTCATGAGGTATCTGTTTTTGTTTCTTTTTATAATTAATCTACTTTCCTTGACTTAGCCTGAGTGAGTCTGTGTTCTTTCTTTCCAAAAAACTTTATTTAAACTAATTGAAATTCCTGCTCTGGGCTTTAGTTGTTTTCACCCAAATAAAGAGTCTCTTTAGCTAGAAAGGCTAGGATCATCTTATTGTCCTTAATGGTTACGCCATGAATCTTAAATTCATTATCTCATGTTGATGGAGAATATATAAAACAACTCCAATAACCAAATGAGATTTCAAGATCAACAAGTAAAAAGTGCAAATGATATTATAGATTGAATATGAAAGACAGTATATATCTGGGAGGGAGAGGTCACTGAGTATAAGAGGAGAGTACAAAGAATCAGCCAGGGTCAACCCTGAAAAAAACTGAAAATACTTTTTATGTCTATGTTTCTCCCTACCTTCTCCAGGCACACATCTTGCATTCTATAACTCTTAGCTCCCAGAACCACTCTTGTTTGAGCTGCCATTGTTATAACCCATCTTTCTTCATGCACACCTTGTTTTTATACATCAAGAAAATTGGAAGCTCTCAAACACCCTAAGTAGAACCTAAATTTCTAGTGCTCAAGGAATTAGAAAAAGGTGAAAAAGCCCAAAGTTAGCAGATGTAAGGATATAATAAAGATAAGAGGAAAAATAAATGAAGTAGAGAACAGGAAAACAATAGAAAAGATTGATAAAACTAAGAGTTTTGATTCTTAGAAAAGATGAACAAAATTAACAAATCTTTAGCTACACAGAGTATTTTATTCTAGGTTTGAGATGCCTATAGAGCCCTGTAAGGTAATGTAAATTAATGTAAACATAATGTAAACATACATTCTGTTTTAGTTAAGACAGGGAAGACAGCTACTTGCTGTAAAAAGCAACCCTCAGATTTCAGTGGCTTAACATAATACACTTCTCACTCATGTTACAGAGCAGATTAGGTGAGGGATCCAGTCCACTTCTACTTTGTGGTTCCACCATCCCCTAGTCCTCCACTCAATCATTTGCATTTGGCTAGAGGAGAATGTATGAAGAAAGAGTGTCCATTTAAAACCCTTTCAACCTTGGCTACTATGTCACTTGTTTACATTCCATTGGTTTAGATCCAACAGGGCTGGGAAAAGTAGAGCCCAGGAAGAAGAGAAGAACACAGATATTGATGAATACCAGAAATCTCTACTATGTGCTTTCCCCTATATTTTGGAAATGCCTTACCTAGTCAGTATTTTGTTTTCCACTTTTAGATAATCATAAGAAATATTTTTCAATGATAGAAAAGCTCCTGTAAAAATGCAGTGATAAGTGGCAACTGGCATTCCTATTAGTGATAGGAACAACCAGAGGTAAGGGTAAGAACTGCGACGAATAGGAGAACACATGCCCCATCTATTAGGAGTAGCCGTTACTCAGCTCTGGTTATTAGCATTAGGAAATATACACTCAGTTTTTCTAGATCTTACGATTTCTCAAATGAAGAGCCTGGTTTTGTATGTGAAATATCCCATTTTCAATATACAATCTCAATTATAAAATAAAAATTGCTCATTTTGGTTTCCTATAATTTATGAAGTAATTCTCAAGAGAAGTGGCAAATCAAAATTGTGTGTGTGTGTGTGTGTGTGTGTGTGTGTATGTGTTAGAACCAACCGTATTGCATATTTTTATATACTTTCTATCATCTCTGTCTTCTCCCTCTACTCCCTATTTATTGCCCTTGGCCACCATAAGGTATTAACTGATATAAATGTAAGAGTCTGCCCCTAGGTATTTGCATCATAACAAAAGATCCTTGAAAACACACACACACAAAAACCCTAAAGTAATGAATTTCCAACTATAAAATTTTATATATAACTAACTATTAAGAATATTTTTCAGTAGGAACTGCCCCATGACCTTCCAATCACATCTTGTGGGTGCCATCCATTTTATCTGCTTATAGGATTGTGTTGGTTGAAAAAGCCTTTAGTTCTGTAAGCATTAAGGTGTTAGATCACCATCCTCTGATGACCTGACTGACTCTGTGTTTAAAGCTCTAAAATGAGTTAGAATATCCTCACCACTCTCTGTTCAATAATCCTCGCCAATATTATTTGGCAAATGTCCGCTCTGTGAGCAGTGACTGGCACTATTATGGACTGAATTCTATTTCCCCAAAATTTGACCTAATTTCCAATGTGACTGTATTTGGAGATAGGGCCTAGAAGGATGTAATATAGGTCAAATGAAGTCACAAGAGTGAGGCCCTATTACTAAGGTGTTGGTGCCCTTATAAGATTAAGAGATGCTGTAGCTCACTCACTTGTGCTCGCCCTCTCTTCATGTGTGCACAGAAAAAGTCTGTGTGAAGACAGTGAGAAGGCTTCCATAAGCCAGGAAGAGAGGTTTCACTAGAAATCAACCCTACTGTCACTTTGAACTTGGACTTCTAGCCTCCAGAACTACAAGAAAATACATTTCTGTTGTTTAAGGTGCCAATCCGTGTTATTTTGTTACATCAGCCTGAGCACATGTCACCTGTGGTCTTAGAGTGTTAACGGGCTTCCATGAACATTTAACTTACTTTGGGAAATATGTGAAGACATGTTAGAACTGAAGCACTGGAGATCTTTCAGAGGTTTCAAAGTGATGGTTCACCAGAGACATTTGGCTTATTAATTTTTCTTAGCCCAGTCCTTTTAAAATGTGAATTGGAGTGTTTTTAAAGAGGCATGCATTCTCCAGTTTCCCACAGTTCCCAGTGGTCCTTATGTATCACTCATGACCCCCTCCACACATTTATTTTTTGCTTAGTCCCTGGAGACACTTGTATGACCTGGAATGAGCCCAAGTGTCCTTATTTTGCCAGTGATGAAGAGGTATTGGGAGGAGGTAACAGAAGTGACATAAGAGGTAGGAGGCAAGAAGGTAAGAACCTGGGCCTGGAAAGAAAGAGTGTAAGGAAATAGGATATCAGGCACAAGGCTTGTGTACAGGAAGTGGCCAATCCAACCAGGGCTGAAAAGACTCCTCTGGACTGGTGGGTAAATGGCAGGGTGGCAGAGCCTTCTCTTGGCCCTTTTCTTTTTTTGATGTTGGTAGCTCCTAGTACCTGATCTTCACATTGAGACCATAAAAATGTCAGATACTTGCTTCCCTAGCATTCCTTGCAGCTAGAGATGACCCTAAAACACACTTCCAATGAAACATAAAGGGAAATGTAACTGTTTTCTTCCCTCATGTAAAGAGAAAAATATATAAGCAGTGTCCCTGTCCCTTTCTTTTTCACCTTGGGTGCAGTTGGTTCAGAGAGTACAGTTGGGGCTGTACTGTACAGCACAATCATGGGGCAACTGGCTGGAGGATCAAAGCCAACATGTAGAAAAGTGTAGAGCAGAAATGTGGAAAGAGACTGGGTCCCTGGGAACATTATTGATCTACTGAACAACCACTAGGTCTGCCCAGCTTCAGGCTTTCTTGTTACATGAAATGTAGAGCAAACAAAAAGACAAAACAAAATAAAAAAACCCTTTCTTCAGGCTACTTTCTGTTGGGTATTTTGTTAATTGTATCCCCAAACATCCTAACTGGTATACTTAGTGAGAACGGGTCCAATGGAGCAGTTCTAACTGAACTGGGCTAAGAGAAATTAATCTGTAGGCCAAAGGTATCTGGTGAACCATCACTTTGAAACCTCTGAAAGAACTCCAGTGCTTCAGTTCTATCTAACTGGGATAGGAAGTGACAGCTGTGGTCCAATTAAACTGAAAGTGAAGGAGAGAGACAGTGGCTTGGCTGTGAAGTAAGGCAGAGAAAGAAGAGATTAAATCTACAGCTTTCTTCTAAAAGGCAGTATATGTGAGGGTGAAGGGTGTAGGCTCTGGATTCAGAAAGACACTGGCTTAGATCCCAGTTCTACCTTTTGTTGTTGGGAACTGGTAATTTATTCTAAGCCTCTGTTTCCTTATCTGTAAAGTGGGGATTTAAGTGTTCTTATTTTGCTGCTGATGAAGAGGTACTGGGAGGAGGTGACAAAAGATGTGACGTAAGAGATAGGAGACAAGACAGGTAAGAACCTGGGCCTGGAAAGAAAGAGTGTAAGGAAATAGGATATTGGGCACAAGGCTAATATACAGGAAATGGATTGTGTACACACAGAGGATTGTTGTTGGAAGGCTTAAGTGAGTTCACATAGGTGAAGCTCTTAGCACAGTGGCCAGAAGCTGTTCAGTACAGTTAGCTATGAGCTAGACCATCACTGACCTTTAGCCTTTTATATCTGCTCTTGCATATCTCCATCTGGATTGCCCCATACCTACCTCAGACTCCTGGTGCCTCCTCTCCCTTCTACCATATGCTCTTCCTTTCTGCTAATTAGGAAAATGTCTTGGGTGTAGCAGAAAGACACGTGGCATGCTGTGTGAAGCTACATGTTTGGGCTTGGATAGATTTAATTCACAGAGTATGCTATGTGCTGTCTGGTTCTCCAAGAAACCCAATAGAAGCTGATCTCATCCTACTGATTGAATTTGATGACATGCTTATCATTTCCTTTTACAGTTTTTATGGTCCAGAATGACTCTGTTGCCAATATCTTCTGATAGAGGGAATTACTTTTCCAGGCAGTGCAATCATGCTATTTATCAAAAGAAACACTGGACAATCACAGTGGACTTCAGTGCTGTGTCCTGAGCCATCATCTGGCCAACTCTCGGCAAGAAACTTCTTTGTTCTTTAGAGACTGAGCTCTATCCCCAAGCACTAACAGAATCGAGATGGAAGAAGTTGGAATTCTTCATCTTGGTATGTAAAGAATAACTTACTGTTTATGCCTATTAAGGGACATTTTTAAAAGAAGCAATTATAGGATGTTTTGTCCCTATCTCGCCTGATCTCTGAGGTCACCTGACCTCTCCATTTTAACCTTGGTTTTTTACATGAGGGGTGTTTTTACTCTATGTTTATGAATCTGTATCTATTAAAACAAACACTTTATGTGTAATTCATTCATTTATTCAATATTTACTGAATGCCTCCTATGGTCCTGGCATTGTTTTAGGTGCTGTGACACAGTGAGGTTCCTGCTCCCAGGAAGCTGAACCCTGGCCTTGAGATACATGGTAGGACAGACATGGGTTGAAGGCACTGGTGTGCAGCAAAGGGGAATGTTCCAGGAAACAAATGGCAAAATTGTTCTGAAAGGAACACTGGGTGTAGAACCTACATTTCTTAAAGTGTCAAGGATGCTATAAAACAAATATCAATTTTTCTATCATGCTTCTAACTATACCATTCACTATAGCATTGAAATATTCAGAGCTCCTATTTAAATCAGAAGCTGTTACACAATCATTTCTGAATGAAGGCAGTAATGATTAGTTATAATATGGTTTATTATATGAAATTAGTAAAACCTGAGGCCTCAAAACATAATATGCACCATAAAATCCTGATATAATGTGGTTAATCTATTCTTTGGGGTTAGCTCAGTCCCCCTCAATTATCATTATAAAAAGCTTTCACTCCAACTAGAAGAAAGAGCAGCTTAATTTGTAAAAGAGTTCTATATGCTGCTGCCTTAGTTAAACAAAGACAGAAAAGCAGGAGGATGGAATGTGGATTTGGTGAAACACTGGCATAGAATACAAAGCAGCAACGTGTCCTTAATATAAATGCATTCCACTTTAATAATTACAGGTGAAATGAACTATTTTGGGGGAAGAATAATGGGAATGAATCGATTCTATTTCAGGTTAACATTTTGATGGGAGGCTTTAAGCATTTGTAATTCCAAGTTAAGAAACACAGAATGTGGCATTTTTCATTTTTGGTATGAATTTCTCTGTTTATGGATACTGTTTCTATATGCAATATGTATTTTTTTTAGTATAACCATTTTCCTTCTCACTTTTTTTTTAGAACCACATCCCTCCCTAAACTACCCTGCATCCCTTGCATTAATCCCTAGGCTTCCTGAGGGAGTGAGTCTCTATAGCAATCTATGGATTCTATACCCTATCCAATGTCTTTTTCAGGGATTTTAGAAATGGGAATAAAGCCCATTCTGCCTGTCTCGCTCTGAATTGCTGAGGCTGTAAGATGTGATACTGGGGGTGGTGCTAGTCTCCATATTTCTTACCATGTGGCGTGGTCTCCACAGTCCAACAGAAGATGAAGCACAAGCCCAGAGGAGCAAGAGGAAAGACAACACAAGTCCTTGTTCCAGTTGTTCCCAGGTTCAGTGCCAGATTTCTTTTCTTGAATTGTGTAAGACACTCTGCTATCCTGATTTTCTCCTTTTTGATTCAACTAGTTCAAGTTGGGTTTCTATCACATGCAACCAAGCAATTCCTGACTAATGCAGTCACCCTCACTGCTGCTCTATATGAGCTCTTCAATAAATTCGGTCTCTTCATCCTACTTCCTTTTCTTTTCTTTTCTTTTTTTCTTTTTAAGATTTTATTCTTAAATAATCTCTACACCCATTGTGGGGCTTGAACTTATAACCCTGAGATCAAAAGCCACATGCTCTACCAACTGAACCAGCCAGGCACTCCTCTTCAGCCTACTTTCTAAACCTCTTTTGTGTTCCTGCCTCCATACCTCTGCCTTGGGATCGTCACCGTTCCCTCCCCTTATGGAAGTCCAGCCCAAGTTCCACTTTCCCTGACTACCTGGGCAATCTCTCTATCCTTAGAATTTACATAGCCTTTGTTCTCTATATATGCTCACTGGCACTTTCACTTTCCCCAAACTAGACCATAAAGTCCTTGAGCACTGAGGCAATGTATCCTACCATTGTGTCTCTCCAGAGCCTTAAACAATGTGTTTAGTTTTGACAGGATGATGTTGCCAGCTATTATTTTATAGATAGATGATAATCTTGAACTTATAATTTAAATGGAAGATTAACAAATATAATGAACTCAGTTAGCTGAGTAATTATTTTAGGATTAGGTTAAACTGAATGCCAATAGTTCTTATAGTGATGACTTCTATATAGAGATGTTGTTGTATAAGATATGCACACCCTGTTTGGCAAGGAGGATGTGTTTTGAGAAATAGGACCTCCAATAACGCCACACAGGATTGTTAGAGCACAGCTGTCAAGACCATGCATTCCTGGCATCTAATGACAGTAACCTCTTCCATTCTCTCCAAATGACTTGAAGTCATGACATGCTTCTGGCCCAATTTTCTTCTAGGTATTTTTCAAGCAATAGCAGGTCAATTATCCCAGGCTACAGGGATATTTATGATGCCATTCTAATGTCACAGTATTTCCACAACCCTGGGATCGTCTGCTGAGTTTCACCCTATGTTTTCACATCTATTTCTTTGAGGGTGACACCAGCTGCATTACAACTAGTATAATGATAGCATCCAGCATGACATTTTCCTTGCTTTCTTTGGGCCATGCCCAACTCTATCACTTTCAAATGTTATGTTAGCCATTAAGAATAAAAATTCCTGACCAGACCCAAAATAATTGGCAGAAATAAAGACCGAAGAAAGTAGATACCATGCAGAACATGCTTACTGTAGGAGAGCAAGGCAACATACTCAGAGGCAATGGTTTTTGCAGTATGTGTCTCAGCTCTTATTGGCTGAGTGCCTACAAGTATAGCTAACACTCAGAACATGGGGGGAATGTTCAGTAATAGAGAACCAAAATGGATAGTATACATATATTGATACATGTGTATGTAATTTGGGAAAATACTTCAGAAAGAAATCACTTTATAAATTTTAGGGACAGAAAAACAGGGTTAAACCTGGTAACTTAGAAAATGGAGAACTTCAATATAGACATATACTCAAGTTACAAATACGGCTTCTTTGCTAACTACGAATGCAGGATTCAAAACTGAGGACTTTGATATAGATTTGTGAAAAGGAATGGAAGGAGAGAGGTCCTGAAAGGTGAAAAAGTAGATCACAAAAATAACAGACTGTAGGTCATAATACCAAGGCAGTTACAAACCAGAGGTGGGATGACCATTGTTCTAGTTAATGAAGACAACAAGATGGAGAAAGGCCTCTGGATGAGCAGCATAGGAGGAAGTGTCAGAAATGTCTGGGTCTCAGCGTTGGGCATGGACTTGTTGGGATTGCATTCCCAGGCTGCAAGACTCTGAGGAGCAAATAAAATATTCTCTCATGAAAACCCCTGACAAGCCTCCATCCTGGTCAAATGACTCTGGCCATCTGTATTATTAAAAATAGTTTGGGTTAACTCAAAAATGCAGAGAAGCAGTTTTTCCTTGAAAAAGCTAATGCCTATAAGCATTACTTATGGATAAAAGTTAGCAGGCCATCGTAGGTCCACTGGATTTCATCTTAATAAGAACTTCTAACCTTAATTAAAAAAAAAATTTTTTTTTTTGCTACTCAGGGCAAATTATAAATTAAGATTTCAGCTTCTGGCACTGCAAGATCAGAAGAAATGCTGAACACTACAGTTTTGAGAAATGAGTACAGTAAAATACAGAGGAAAGAAGTCTCTCGTCCTGTTGTGTTCTTGAGATGACAGCATAATATGGTCACATCCCATTTAATTCCTAGCTAACTCCAAGGCTTCCCTCCCCAGTAGGGCCGACCTCATGGATCTACAAACCTTGCAGTGGTACATGGCTCTCCTCCTGGAAGGGGCTCTGTGCTTGCTTTAATGTTTTGCTGTTGCTGTTGGGACATGCTTAGCAACTTTACCTTTGAACTTGTGTTTTGTAAATAGAGCCTGAAGGGGCAAGGTGCACACTTGTGAACAGAGGGGCTACTCCAGAGGTATGTACTGGAGGGCACAGATCTTCAGGTGCCAGAGGCTGCAGGCAGCAGTGTATACATGGAGTATCACCCAGCATAGACAGAAAGCCAGGGGTGGTCCAGGATGCCAAGGGGATCCAGAGGAGATGGCTGTGGCTGGACCTGGGTCTAGATTAGTGGTGGCAACAGCAGCACCGGCAGCCTTGGGAAAGGGGAGGGTGTGGTGGAGGCCAGTACTGGGACCCAGGTTGTGACACTGGCTTGGTGGTTCATCTTGGAAGCTGGGCCCAAGAGCTTCTGCACAAATATTAATTCTCTAGACTGAGCATGGGTGTAATAACTCCTGGCACCGGGGTACCTGGGTGGCTCACTTGGTTAAGCCGTTAAGCATTCAGCTTTGGCTCAGGTCATGATCTCATGGTTCGTGGGTTTGAGCCCCACATCAGGCTCTGTTCTGACAGCTCTGAGCCTGGAGCCTGCTTCAGATTCTGTCTCTCCCTCTCTCTCTGCCCCTCCCCCTTGCCCCACCTGCAGTCTGTCTCTCTCTCTCTCTCTCTCTCTCAAAAATAAATAAAGACATTAAAAAAAAAAAAACCACTGGCACCAAGGAAGTAAACTTTTCCTACAAATAATTATAAAACAAAAGCATATCATGGATATTGCAGTAAAGCATATTAGGGAGTTATTATCACTTTTCAAAGAGTTTAGAATTTCTGGGTTTGAAAACTGCTACAACAGGGGCGCCTGGGTGGCGCAGTCGGTTAAGCGTCCGACTTCAGCCAGGTCACAATCTCGCGGTCCGTGAGTTCGAGCCCCGCGTCAGGCTCTGGGCTGATGGCTCGGAGCCTGGAGCCTGTTTCCGATTCTGTGTCTCCCTCTCTCTCTGCCCCTCCCCCGTTCATGCGCTGTCTCTCTCTGTCCCAAAAATAAAAAAAAAATTAAAAAAAAAAGTTGAAAACTGCTACAACAATGTGAAACAAATGTCCACAGGCTTATAAATAGAAATTAAATTAAAAAAATTTTTAGTTTATTTATTTTTGAGAGAGAGAGTAGGGGGGGAGGTTCAGAGAGAGAGAGAGAGAGGGAGAGTGAGAATCTCAAGCAGGCTTCACACTGTCAGTGCCGAACCTGATGTGGGGCTTGAACTCATGATCCACAAGATCATGACCTGAGCCAAAAACAAGAGTCAGATGCTCAATTGACTGAGCCACCCAGGTGCCCCCTAAATAGAAATTAAATTTAAGGATTGTCCCATTAGAAGGAAAAGAACACTATTTTCACGTGAGACTTCAGACGAACCAGTTACTAATGAAGATGACAATTGTAAAATTGATTTTTCCTTTTATTTGAAAATACA